GGAGGCGGGAGCCGGGCGGGAGCCACCGCTCCCCCCCCGCGGACTCGGGCCGCGGCGCGGCTGGGACGTGTCTCCTGGGGCCCGCGCCTGGCACGGGCGGGACGCACTGTCCCCGTCCCCGTCCCCCTGCCCCGTGGGGAGCCGTGTTGGTGACAGCCGTGGCGCGTCCTCCCCTCCCCGCGCGGCGCTGGCCCCTGAGGTGACCCGGCGGCGGGGCCAGGGCACTGAGGAAGGAAATGCCGGGAGCCCTGGACACGACCTGCCTGGGCAAGGGCCACCTGCCAAACAAGACACTGGGTCCGCGCAATACCCGGTGCAGGCACTGAGCTCTGAGTGGCTGAAGAGCACCCTCTGGGCTCAGGCTTTTTAGTTTCACTCATTTCGTTTCACTCCTGGCTGTAACTGAGCAGGAATCCTAAAACCAAAATCACTGCAGTGGGGGAGAGGAGAGAGAGGGACGCTTAGGACACCGAACTGAAGACGATGTGCTGTCACAGCCTCTAACTTAGGGCTGCACGGCCACCTGAGGGGTTTTAGGGAGCTGTTGCAGGAAGGAGATGCCAATGGATGTCTCAGCCTCACTGCCCCCCCCTGTGGTATCACTTACTCATATCTAAATCACTTACTTACTCATATCTAAAATTTAACCTCTAGGTAGAAAAAAAAACAACTTCCCTCCAAAACATTCAACTTGCTCCTTACTGCATGCAGTGCACAGACCTCTTCCCCCCGCCCCAATCCATCCCTCCCTCCCTGTTGGCACCATGCAGTCCTGGCACCCCAGCAGCCGAGCCCACATGGGACAGTGCGATCGGGAAGAGACACGCAGGACATGGGACAGGGCAGCGCACCAAGTAGCCACCCCGCTTGTCCACCATGCGCTGCACCAGGAAGGTCAGGGGGCCTAGTGCCCTGCTGTGGCCAGCATGAACTCAATTCCTAGTGGTGCCACAGCAGCAGCTAGGCATGATGGGTGGATTAAAGGGCCACTTGGCACACTGCATCACACCTCTCATGTGGGCCTGGCTAACAGTAGTTGCCATGATGCCAGGACTGCAGCACCAACAGGAAGCTGGGCAGGAGACGGGCAGAGGAGTTTGTGCTGCATGGGCTGGCCCAGCGCCAGCTGTGGCAAAGCAGAGTACACAGGCTGCAGCCCTCCATCCCTCCTCAGGGTTGGGGCAGCAGCCGGCAGGCTGCATAAGATCAACTGGCAGGCTGGATACAGCCCACAGTCCGTATTTTGCCCACCCCTGCACTCTAACTGCACAAATATACAAAAGCAAAGACATGGCCCATATGGCTGGGGAAAGACTCTACGTCCCAGTTTAATTAACAGCTGCTCTGCTGACTATTTGCATTGACAGGTATTCTTTCGTATACTCATGCCCTTAGAGGCTGTGACAACTTGTCTTCACATCAGGCTCTAAAGCGTCTCTCCTCACTACTTCTGTGACCAGTTGGAAAGCTTTTGATTTTAGGAGTAACATCCAACTACAGTTACAGAAGTGAGTAAAAAATGAAAAAATAGGGTGTTCTGCAATGATCCAAAGCAATTTTAAAAGCTCAGCTCCATAACTGGATATTTGACACATTACTGAATAGAATGTACATAGTTCCTTGTTTTACAGGTAAACTTTAAAAATAAGTTTCCAAAGCTTGTCAGCACATAGGTTTTGTAGGAGCAGAGACTGCCATTTGAACACCCCCTCCCCCCATAACCTATCTTAAATGCCCTATATACTGGACTATTAATTTGTTCTCTACTTGTTGGTCAATAAATCTGTAATAATGGTGCAAATTTGAACAGCTACAACAGGAGACACTGACAGCCCCATCTTAGATTAACTTCTAGA